CCCCAAAACCCCAAAACCCCAAAACCCCAAAACCCCAAAACCCCAAAACCCCATTATATAAATTTAAATTTGAAATAATTTAATAATGAACAAGAATCTCCGCAAGTCTCAAGAACAAATCCCCAACAACAAGCTCTCCAGAATCGAAGAACATGACAACTCTTCTTCTGATGATGAACAAGACGAAGACGACATCTTCTTGCAAGACCTCGAACGAGAAAACCAAATGCTCGAAGGCGTCTTGAAAGACCTCCAAGGAGTCATACAAAAAGAAAAATAATGACTACAGCTTCGAACAAACTCACAAGCCACCGAACAATCACTTCACCAGTGTTAAGAGACTCAGCAACCGTCACTCACCAGCTAAGCAAGCCAGTCTCACACGGAACAATGAGTCTAGGATTCCGAGGCCGAGCACCAGAGAACCCAAACACAGGTTCAACAACAGCTCAGACAACGAAAAGTCAAGAGAGAGGACGCTTTCAAGCAGGAGGCCATACTTAGGAGACACCATTTCGTCCAAAATCAGGAATACCCAGACTCTGCAGCTCGATGACCCCGAACAAGAAAGCATGGAGCTGGAGCCACCTGTGCCTCACGACCACATCAAAATACAGAGCGAAGCAATCCCAGCCTACAACAGAGGCGACACCGATGAGCGGTCAGCGTAAGGCCAAGACTCACATTTAGTGCAGACAAGATCCGATCATTGGAACTGAGACTTGTGGGAACCAAGAAGAGCATCCAGTCTCTTGAGAAAGACAAACGTGACAAAGACAACTTCATCAAGCAGCTCCAGCACGAACTTGACAAAGCCAAGCGGTTCAACGCAAGATCTGAGAACACAGATCCAAATCTCAGACAAAAGAAAGGGCAGCTGAACGCTTCAGTGTCACTGCAGCAGAGAAAGAAAGAACGCAGTCTCGAAGACAAAATCAAAGAACTCGAAGCTGTTATCCACAAAGATCGGAAGCACATGGCGAGACTACAGAGTCTGAACACCCAGCTGATCACCAAAATCAAAGGAGTCGCCAACTCTGAGAAGTCTGCTCATGAAGAGAGCACCAACTACGGCAACACTTTGAAGTCGCTTCGTCGAGAAAATTCTTACTTGAAACAAAACAAAAGGGAAATCCTTGAAGAATACAAAGAGCTCAAACACAGCTTCAACGTCCTAGCTGATGAGCACGAAGAGTTGAAGGCGAGACACAAGAGTCTGGCGAAGCAGAGCAAGATATTCGAGGAGAATGCTCTGGAGCTGTACGAGTCGCACCAGTTGCTGACTGAGAAGTTGATGAAATACCACCCCAGATAATTCAATATCAGATTAAAATTTAGGGGTTTTGGGGTTTTGGGGTTTTGGGGTTTTGGGGGTTTTGGGGTTTTGGGG